TCTATCATTCATGTAAGCTTCTAAGTCATCAACACCAATTGAATCCATGGACGCATCCATGGTATGAACTTCACGAGCCTCAGCTCGTAATTTCTTATTTTCTTGGAACATTTTAATAAAATATTCTAAAGTATGGCACACATGTCCTAAATGTCCAATCATTCCACACTTATGGCAAGAACGTATCTTTGATTTTTATTTTCTAATATAATTAATAGTAGAATATTTATTCTTTCCATATGGATAGAAATGATCTTGACTATGACTACCCTGATACTTATGAGCACGTTTCCCATGTTTATATAATTTCTTCTTAGACTTTGAAATATTAAGTGAATGAAATTCTAGAACTGTAGTTCTAATAGCATGAGCTTTTGCATTATGTAAGAGTAGCTCATTTTGCTTCTCCACAAGAAGTAGATAGAACATGAGATCAGAATGACTCTGAAATTTCATATTCTTGTATTGTTGTGCAAGAACAACAGATGTAGGAGGAAATGTAGAGAGAGTTTTCTCAATCATTTCTTCTTCAGAAATGCTTTATCCATATAATCGTAATTATGAGATAATACTATACATTTCACTATTGAAAGCATTTAAATTTGGAAAATCCAAGACACGTAAATGTATCCAATTATGGCGTGTACGTAGAAGAAAAATGGTCTTTTGATGATCAAACCTAGATTAAAGATTCTTCCAAAGTTCTGCATGGTCTTCCATTTCTAAATATTGATGTTATAATGCAGGTACAAGATGACGACGAATGAGAAGAAGTGCTTTCTAATGAATAGCAGGAGATATAAAAATACTTGTTGTAGGAGATTCTTCAAACATAATGGCATCCGAGAGTTGTTTTGCAAATAAAATTTTTTTTTTGCCATTTTTGCCCATAATAGATAATTATTTCCATCCACAGTCAATGGTGGAAATAAAAGAGCTTGAAAATATTGGGATGCATTGGTAATAGTTGGAACCATAGAAGAAGCAATTGAAGATGTTGAAGCACTCATTATAAATAAATCTGTAAAGAAAATACAAGATCAAGTAGAAAAGTTGAGTAAAACGTACCTTAAAATATAAAGTCAAATAAAATGATAAACTTGAATTTGAAAAAATAAAAATATATAATTTTTTTTTTATTAAGGAGAGAGTTGTAGATTCAGGCAGCAAAACAGTAATAAGATGGCAGCAGCAGGCAACGGTAGGTGCGGCAGGGTGGCAACGATGGGCAGCGGTGGACAACAGCGGGCGGCAGCGACGGATAGCTGTGGCGATGGTAGCGACATTAGGGTGACGACGGCAACGAGTGGCAACATCAGTAGTAACATGGTGGCATTGACGGATTTGGCGATAGTTTGGCAGCAGTTTGGCATCTATTTGGCAGCAGGCGCGGGGCGCAGCAAGGAGCAAGCAAAGGGTGAAGTTGGATTAGATCAAGTATTCAGAGCAAGCAAGGTAGGAAGTGGAACAAGTGCTCTAAACAAGCAGCTAATGTGTGAGGGACCAACAAGAAGAACAAGATCATGAAGCAGACACTGTGCAAGGATAGCAACAGGTTTGAAGAGTCAAAGACTAGAGCAAAAAATTGTGATAGTATATAGAAGAAAATCGTGCTGATAACGTGTTGAGAATGTTTAGAAGAGTAATAGTAAGTCATACATAGACACAAGAGTAGTATTAAGTTACACACAAGAGGGTTTCTAATGAGAGAGAGCTTCACACACATACATATCTATTAAATCTGGTTGTGTCTCGCATACAAGAAGAGAAAAGAGGAGAGGATAAATAGTACTTCTCCACTAGACTCTAAATACTGTAGCTATGGTAATTACCATAGTCTACAGTAAATATTATGGAAAGTGCTGGCTACATTTAATGATCTCAATACCATCAATGCTTGTCCCTCCATAGCCACACACAGATGAAAGAGCCACCAAAAGATTTGGAACTCTCCAATTAGCACACCAAAACTAAAAATAAAAAAAGAAGGATCTGAGGTAACTCAAACCCCTATCAACAAAGAGATTGCTGGAATTTAGGAACAACCTTTCTTTTCTTTTCTTTTTTCTTTCGTCCTTTCTTCTCTTTTTTTTTTTTTTTTTTTTTTTTTTTCTCTTCTTTTTTTGTCTTTATTTTTTTTCTTCCACTATATTTTTTTCTTATTCTTTTTATTTTATTTTTAATTTTTTTTATTATTATATATCCATCTAAATATATATGCATATATATATATATATATGCATATATATATATATATATATATATATATACATTAAGAACTACTAATAAATATTTTTTTCTTTTCAATTGATTTGAATGAATAATTCTTTCTTCCATTTTTATCTTAATCAAAAATTTATAATAATAAGGACTACTTCCATTGGACCATCATCTAATATTAGCTAATTTCAATATATATATATATATATATATATATATATATATATATTCTTCATAGAGATTTGTCTTAATAAATTCTAGTAGGTTGCATATCTAGTATTAGCAATCTGTTTCTATTTATTTAAGAATTCTACTACTAACTTACAAAACCTTTGATTTTATATACAATGGTTGTATTTTTTGTACTAAATATACAAGTGAATTGATTCAATGACTCACAATGATTATTCAAGCTCTACATTTGGTATCTTAGAATAAAAAGAAGAAATAAAATAAGATCCAAGCCGAACCCTTATCAAAGTAGCCTGCTATGGTAGCAAACATATTTGCCATGTCCTACGTTGAAATCTGCCTGCTTAATATCCAAATGACAAGATCTTCATGTAATTGATATCTACCTAGACTACATCTATATTATATATGATATAGTATTTCTATTATACATAGTATAATATTTAGACCATATTCCTTTTGTATATGGTATAATATTGAGATTGTATTTAATATTGGACTTTACTATATTCATGTCTATACTTCCTATAGAATCTAATATCATATCTACTATCATATCTAGATTGTATATAGAATATATTCAAACCGTATATGATTGTATCTAAGTCATATAATACTAAAAGTTTAAATATTTTAGATAACTTTTAGATGTTCTTAAGATATTAAAAAGATATTAATTTCATGCCTTTAAGTTGCTTCCCATATAAGAATTTCTACTAGATTTTCAATAATAACAATATTCTCTCTATTAATATTATTTTTTACATATTTGAAATATTTTATATTAATCTTTATCTAATAATTACAATTTGATACTTTAATTATATTTTTTTATTCTAATATAACTAGTGAATCGATTTGATGATCTACATAACTCATTTAAATTATCATAGGAGATTTATATATTTTATTTTGCATAGCATCTTTGCTTTAAAAGATGTAAAGGCTGGTAACACTCTCAACATGAAATCTAAATAATAGTATCTAAACCACCTCAATTATCTATCATCTAAGATTCTCTTTTTAAATGATGTACATTGAGTCCTAGTTATTTCAAAAACTTTTATTTTCAAAGTTGTAGAACTTAGACCATGGCCTTTCTTGTACAAAGTTAGAAGATACTATATAAGATCTCTATCTTCATATGCAGTTAGAACACCTTGAATTTCTTTCTTTTTGGATTTTTATACACCATAATACTATGTCCTAAAAGTTGAGTATGGAATATCATGGTTTGAAGTTGCTTGCCTTATCCTTACACCATATTCATGCTCTACTAAGACTACTTCCATTTGCTCATCATTCTAAAAAGTTTTTTTTTTTTTTTTTTTTTTTTTTTTAACCTTGGCAGTGTTGCTCATATGTTGGCTTGATTGTTGTGGTTGAGATTTTTAGTTGCTAATATCTTTTAATGTTATCTAAATGCTTGTAATATTCTCCACAATTACATTGTTAAAGAGTAGAATCTCATTGTCCATCTTCACCTTGGTTTGATCCACAACTCCACTACATTTGTCTCTTTCCTTGCCTTATTGGCATCTTCTCTGTTTGTGTAAAATACCATCGCTTTGGCCCTCCTTGATCAAACTTCTCCCCCCTATCTCTACTCTTTTGCCAACTTCACCACTTCAACTAATTCTCTTCTTTTGCAATTAGAGACTTTTAACTACCTTGTAATTTTTAACCTAAATTAGACTGACTTCAACTATCGTTATAACTCCCTCCATGAAATGCATGGTCTTGTTCACTACTCTTAGAGGTGAAATATAATTGATCACTCCAACTTGGCATGAAATTATCCAATGGCACCATGGAGTTGAAGCAAAATGTGCACAATCAGCTTTGCAATCAAGCTATGAGCTGTGCACAATAGCTCCCACTTATGCAACCATGTACCACCTCACAAATCTCACAGCTTTGCAATTTAGCTACAAGCTCTGTACATGAGTTCTTGCTTATGCAATCATGTATCAGATCTAAGTCTATCAATGTTTTATGTGCCTATACCTCAGCTAGACACAATCAACTCACAAACATATTTTCACTTACAAGCTTGGTGGAACTCACAAAGTGTATGAGCTGCAAATGTAGAGAACATGAGGTGAGAGTCAATTGTATTTAATTTCAATCAGAGCCTTCTTGAACTTTGCCATGTTGCTCATGCAAATCAGTAGATCACAACAATCTTTACTATTCACAACATGATCAGAAAGTAATCAACTGCCAATGGATAATCAGCCGCCTCAAACAGGCAACTCCACTAATACATGATTAATTTTCAAAATATCACCCACATCCATTCTGAATACAATCAATTTCCAATCTTGCTTAGTACTAACTATTAATTTAACAAGCAAAAGTCTCATTTCCAACCATAATGTGTCAAAATTGATCAGTGATTCATATCAAGTTGGTTCAAAATAGACCACCTTAAACTATGAAAATGGGGGACTAGTCAGAACTGGGTTGTCTCCCTCGGATGAAAAATTAGACTTGTTGTTAGGGTGAGAAGGTTGAGTGATTAGGGACTGTTATCCTTGGCAGACTGATTAGGAACTGTTGTCCTTCATTGTGTTAAGAGTATAGCAATTTACAAGGCTCTTATGAAATACGGTAAGGAAAAAGGCAAGTTACTCACTGGGGTGTGATGTAGCTCCTGCTGAAAAGATACCAATTGACTGCTCACTGATTGTAAACTGAGCCAACAACTGTGTGCCGGATCCAAACCCTAATTTAGCATGCTTGGCGGAATTTAAGAACGGGACATAGCATGATACTGATTTGTCGAGCATGGAACAATGAGCTTGTGTGCAACGAATCCGATCGAAGTGTTAGCTGAGCTTTCTTACCGTGATTCGATGAATTCAAACCGAATTCTTAGCAAGGGCGGTTTTTGCTTCTGAGTGTTCGATTTTGTAGACAGCACAATAGGATTGCCCTCACACTGTCGCCATGGCCAGGGCGATGGCAGCCAGGCTGCCGCTGCTGCGACGATGGACTTCGTCGTCGTCGTCGTCATTGCTACTTCAATTACGGGTGCGGCTGCCCTGTAGTCTTGGTTTTTATTTCAGGGTTTAGGGTTTTAGTTTTTGGTGTGATGATCCTCATCTCAATGAGCATTATTCTGATGGGTTATGACGGGATTTTATGAGGAACACAGGTTACTGAACAGGCGTTAGTTTCGTTGAGCTCGAGCAACTCTAGCAGTGCTGCTGAATTTGATAGTGGGTCGGGGTTTTCGATCAGCAGCCTGCAGCCGTGGTACGGCTCGCCCAGCGCACTTGGAGAGTCAGAGGTGAGTTACTTGATTTTAGGAGATTTATTAGAATTAGAGGCTCAGATATTGTTGTGTTCTGTGCTGGTGGATGGCAATTTGTACTCGATGTGAGATTGCCTTCCAGGAGGCCTGTGTTAGCGTATCCTTACGAATTGTGAGGCGAGTTGGCTTGTTGGGCTTTTGTTCTGTACAAATTCGACAATTCGAGATTTCGATAGAGCAGAACAATTGGTCAAACCTCACAATTGCCCTGGGAATTGGTAGAAATCGTGTGTAAGGTACTCGTTTATCTATATGCTTATCAACCGTATGTGTTGATTGTAGGCAGCGAGCATTTTTCTCAAGTTCATGCGTAACGGCAGAGTGAGTGGAAGTGTGTGGAACTCGTCGTCATCTGGAGGGACCAAGCGATCCATTCACACTGATATTGCAGCTCCACGAGCAGGAAGACAAACTCCTAGAGAACTGAAATCGGAAGTAAGTTCACTGAGATGTATTTCAAGGTATACAGATTTGAATTGCGGATAAGTGCACAGGGATCTGTTAGTTTGCTTGGCATTAGTACGTTTTTGATTTCGTGTGGTTACGCAGCAGGATCGCCATCTAGAAGACGATGACCTCACAGATGGAGACCCGACAGTGCGACCATTTGAAGCTCCTGTTATATTGGAAGCTCCCATCAAGCTTTTGTATGAATCTCTTCAGAAGAAAGGATTCATCGATGAGAAAATGAGACCTTTGCCAATTGATCAGGTCGCTAGCCAGGAGGATCACCGTATTGTCGCGTGGTATCGGAGTATTGCAATCGGACTTCTCAAGTACTACTCATTTTGCGATAACCTGAGCAAAGTGAGATCCATTGCGAACTATCTCCTACGATGGTCGGCCATCTATACACTTGCGAAGAAACATAAGTCAAGCTCAAGCCAGATCATTGCCAAGCATACAAAAAGCTTGGTCATCTCCAAGGAGGGTAAAACCCTAGCTGCTTTCTTAACCCCTTCGGAGATCAGCCAATTCAAGAGGAGGTTTATTGTGGATTTGGACCCTACCCATCCCGAGGAACTCATCGATATGCTGTTCGCGCGACTAGTTCGCAAAAAACTACTTGTGGAGCGGTGCGCAGTGAAGGGTTGTCAGGAGCGTCATGTTGAGATGCACCATATCCGACAAATTGAGAAGGCAGGTGGAAAGCACAGAGTTCGCTCAGCTAGAGAGGCGCAGATTCTGGAAGGCATCAAAGCTGTGCAAGCTGCTTTGAATAAAAAACACATTCCTTTGTGCGTCCGGCATCACGATGATTTGCACATGGGGAGGGTCTTTCTTGACGACTTGGATATGAATGTTGTCATTTAACTGCCAGTGAGTTGGTGATCCTTCACGCAGGCGCATGAAAGAAGAAGGTAATGGGTGAGAACCTGCAGTGTTGGATATGAAGAGCCTTGTGGTTTGGTTCGGCGTTGGCAACATTGTGGGAGGCTTCATTTGTCCATATCAATCATGGAAGTAGAAGCAACGTGGATTTGAACGGATTTCCTCTGCCCAGTTGAGATGTTTTGACGACGGCTTCTACGTTTTTTTCCGGGTTGTAAATTCCTTCAAATTTCTACTTGCGACATGGGCCACGCAAGAACCGCCAAGGAGGCGAACAGCACACTACAGCTTTGCCAGCTTCTGGCGAGGTTCGGTTAACTGCAGTTCGTGTGATTAGTGCAGTGTTATATCAACGCACCAACACCATTTTTGCCCTGTGCAGCCAATCTGAACATCCCTGCAGTTGAATTCGAAGCAGACGTCTAAATTGAAAAATAAAAATAAAATAAAATAAAATAGCATGGTTGTGCAGCGCGTTGTCAGTAGGCAATGTTTTCTGGCCAGATACAGATCTTTTTAGCGTTATGAACTAGTGGATGAATAGTACAAATGAACTTGTAGATTTGAAGTGAAATTTGCACATTCTCTTGGATACTCTGGAGGGTGATTGGAGAATATGCTCGTGTGAAGCTCACACGGTTTGTAGGTTCATGGTTAGCATTGTAGACAGCAAAAATCTAGATGATCATTATCCTCTTTCAAGCTCACATCTGGTCACCACCGTAGCAGGTCGGGCGGATTGAGCCGAGATATGTGTCCAGTGGAACCATTCGTTTTTTCGCACAATTGAAGTGGATTTCTTTCGTATTCTGATTGCATGCAAATGGTGGAGTAGCCCCATTTTCGATGCCCCATTGGAACTAGTGTTGTGATCATTAATCCGGTGCGTGGCGGTTGTGCAGCGGGTTTGGCGCAATTCGACATGATACTCCAGCCAGGAAATGGGAATTTTTGACGAAGATTTTGGTGAGTAATGATGAATGAACGAAAATTGTTGCATGCATGTTGCTTAGCAGAGGTTGAACCTTCGTCGAAGAAATCTGTTCGTGGCTCTACGCGACCATGGGCAGGAGTGAACATACCTTGACTCTCAGAGGCTCCTATGGCATAGAAATAGATTTGAATTGGAAGGACAGCAGTACTATGAGGTTCATTGCAGAAAGGTATGAAGAAAGAGGACTTGTGGATTTTACGTTACAGGGGAGGTATGACATAAGCTGTAGGGTCGGGAAGATTGCCACTCCAGATCTTAGAGAGGAACAAGGCACGCATGACCATGCAACTGAAGATCTAGAGCAAAAACAAAATCTTCAAAGTGTGTCCTTGGATTGACAACTAGAAAAAAAAAAAAAAAAAAAAAAAAAAAAAAAAAATCGCTGTGCACACCCCTTAACCACACCTTCCCATCAGAATGCATCACTAAATATGTTTTAGATCTCTCAATGTAGTAGCCTGTATCACGTTAAGAACTTCGTCACATACTTCTCTTATCGTCTTATTTCTCTTATAAATAGATTGACGATGTGGTTAAAGAAAGGGAGATACAACTCTGTTTGAGATTCAGTTACTGATGTACAGTTTGTGGAGGAGACGTTGATCATATTGCCAAGTGCGACTTTTGCTTTGAGAGGTGAGACGATGTTGAGCAATCTGGCGTCTGAATATCCATGACTAACATTATCTTAATGGCCTTATTCATTTGTTGGAAATCTGTTCTAAGGAACTCCCCATGAGGTTCTTACGGGTGGACATGTTCAATTGGTGCCACTGTAGAATGGACTGTCACAGAGCCAGTTCGTAACCTGCAACGCTTGAGAAAGTTTTAGCGGAAAGGGTTGATGGTGTTGTCCCGTACAAAGTGGAACCTGTCGAATTTTACAGGATTCCTTTTAGTGAAGCTACCAAGAGTGAATGCCTCCAGGTCAGCAATCCGATGCTTTGACATATCATATACGACATCATTCTCTGGATTGCTGAAATGTGATCAGTTGCCTATTGAGGTTAGTCCATTTCGACATGAACCTCAGCGGATTCCATCATATCCCGAAAGTGCATAGTTTCAAATCACATGATCACATCGTTTCATATCGACTGCTCAGGAAGATAGTGACCGCCATTGCCTTGTTCCCGGACACCACAATTTTCCTCAGCACGTCTGCATGCGCACATTTCCCAAATCCAATACAGAAAAAGAGGGAGAAGCAATTTAGACAATATAATAAAATAAATAAATAAATAAATAAATAAATAAATAGGCACCTAACTACTAGAAATTGAAGAAATGTGAGTGATTCTACTCGAGAAGAATACCTCCAAACCTAATCGACTTCGAAGGGTATGAGTGCAGTACAGCTCACTCGTCAAAGACTCGTACAGACTACGAGACAAACAAAACTTAAATATTCTCTGAGCCAGTTGTAACAGATTCTGATATTTTCCACGCGAGAATTACTCAAACAAAGGGATTCAGACTCAGAAGGCGAATACACGTTCAGGGAAGGTTTTGAATGAACCGGGATGAGTGTAAATACAACGCCACGGCTTGATACAGCAGGCACACTCAGTGAATCTTTACGCAAACCCAGAGGTACTAGTAGTGAAGCACTAGCTGAGACGAAGGCCAGTATGTGGCGATGGTGAACCTCACTGCAAGGTCCGAATCCGCTCGTCAGCAAAGCGAGTGGAAATTTGCGGCGAGGGGTGAAGATCCCAGCTCACAGTCCACGCCGCTGCGCATTCAGCGATAAGTCTGTTTCATGGTCCTTTCGAGACCAATACCGACCCTGATACCTGCCTGACATACCCGTTCATAAAACCAGCCATATACCCGTATAGATTTCCGTCCTCTGTTCTCCGTGCGTTGGTTAATTACCTTGGAAAATTTTACAAGACTCCGAAGTTGTTTGTATCTGTAATAACATGTTGATCAAATGCGATGCCTAGTTGAATTGGAAATTCCAATTCAAGTTCTTATGTATTCCTCCTTTTATTCTAGGTTTTTGTGAAACTAATAATAAATAAATGTTATTGTTTTATTTTTTCGTTCCAATGCTGCTTACTTGTGCTCCATACTGGTGTGTATAACAATTTCTTCAACCAGTTCCTTTCAGACGGATATTGATTTTTTGGTGCCGCATGATTTCGAACAAATACGTAACAAGACTAATCATGAAGTTTGATGAATCATATGTAGACATTGTGCAAGCTCTTCAAATAATTACCAGAAATAAAATAATAAAAATAATAAAAGTAACATTTATATATACATATCTCATAGGTGTTTGTTTGTTTGTTTTTGTTCTTCCCTTAAACATCAAATAATCAATTAAAGGTCAAATTGTTGTAGGAAATTTGATTTCGGAACACATACAGTTAAAAATGATAATTTAGGGCTTCCCAAACCAAAATTGAGTTGGATTCCTTTTAAACCCTTTACTTTAAAAAATACAAAATAATGATCTTATGGGGGATCGTACAATCAATCCCTAGCCGCACCATGATTTTTTCCTCCTGTTCACACGGGAAAAGACAGGGGAAAAGCAACAAACCCAAGCCAATTGAAAGGGAACAACAATAAACAAAGCCAAATGATAAAGAAAAAAAAGTCACTAAGTCGCTTTTGGTCACAAACGTTTGTGAACAATACAACTCCAAGTCAGCTTCACTCATTAAATATACAAAGACTAGTAATATGATTCTAGACAAAAATGTTGGATGGTGAACGGATCACATAAGTAGAAAAACAAACTTGATGGGAAACATGACCACAACTACTGCTTCTCACATCTCTTGCTTTCATAATGTTAGATACCAACCATATAAAAATACAAGTGGAAAAAGCAAGAATTTGTCTCCATCCCAAGAGAGAAAAAAACGAAAGAAGAGAGTGTCACAGAATACCCACTTTTCAGAACTGCTTTAGAATCAAGGTCTTGCAGAAGTGAAGAAAGTGATAGCAGAAGTGGTTGAGGTGTGTGTTATTGTATTATTAAGCCTTTATATATATATACATATATATATATATATATATATACACACAAAGGGAGAAGCTTCCTTCTTTCCTTTATGGGAACTTTCCTATTTTCATATGCTTGGTAGATATTTCTAAATTTGTCTACGTATTTATTCATTCAATGTTCTTTTCTAAATACTAATATCATTAAAGGAGTGACTACAGTGCACAGGCATCATTAGTCATCAACAAACCAATGAGAAGGCAAAGAGCGCCAGCATGAAAGGGCGGGAAACGCTTGTTCTGTACAGAATTACAGAAGTGAGAGAAAAGGGTATCAAGCTCCAGCTCAGCAGTACACCGTGGCCGTCTCTCATTGGCAGAACTGCCCTGCCATATCCCAGCTGTCCCGGCACGGTTGTGGGCCCCAATTCCTCCTTTGTGGTTTCGAACGGCACCTATTCCTGTGGTCCAACCTTGGTTCATTCCCCACTTCAACTATTCACTTGTGATTTATTTTATTTTATTTTATTTTTTTTGTTAATATTGTATATTTCGATTACCCAATCTAACTTGGACTCATATTATCTTCTAATCTAAATCCGTAAGAGTGTGTAATTATCTAAAAGTTGTTGTAAGAACTAGGTTGTGGCACCCTATGACTACAAATTTGGTGTAAAATAGCATTGTCACCCTTTTTTTAACTCCTTAAAAACTAATAAAACCAATAACTCCAAAAAGATTTTGCTGATATTTGTTCACTGATAAACATTAACTTGAATTTCACACTGTTGTTCAGGCGAGATTTAAAACATAACGTTCTACATGTTATGCTATGAACAACATTTATGTGAAACATAACATTTAGAAGTAAAATTAATTGAAAATACTGAAGTACATCACGACCAGCACACCATAATTTAAAGTTCATTAAATGTATTTTTCATATCAAATATATATATATATATATATATATATATACCTTCAAACTATCTTTAAAAAACAGAATTAAAACTGATAACAATTATTTCATGATAAAAATTGAAATTCAATGATCAGCAATACATTTTTAACAGAAATTAACTTGTAACAACTTTTCAGTCTTTGAGTTTGTTCTGTATTAAGTTTAAAATACATCTATTTTTAACCACACTGCTACGTCATCATCGAAGAAAAAAAATACTCAAGTTAGTACATACAATAATATTAAATTCAACCAGTCTTTGAAATTCTGTCATTGCTTTGAAATTTTCAAAATCAGAATAAAGTTATTAGGGTTATTATTTTTGGAATCGTTCGACTTTCACTCTACAACCTGAAAATTCAAAGAAATATCACGCAAAAAAAAATTTATTCTAAAATTGAAAATACATATTATTACTACCATGAAACAAAAAACTGTTTAAGAATAGTTCCATTGTTTTCTTACTCCAGAAAATCATCTCTCCATCTCCTCGTTTATATACTTTTTATTTCTATTTACTTTTCAGTTCCTTTTTACTTTAACTTTTTGGGCACTTCAACGGAACTGGACCTCCTTGAATGCTTCAACACACCCCAGCTGTCTCTTCTCCAGTAATGCGTTCCCACGGCACCGTGCCCTTGGTTCCCAACAAGGGGAGGGAGCTAGCTTTCAGTGCTGGCCCACGTGCTGGTGCAGCAGCCCTGCCTCCCCCGACCCGACCTGACCTGCCCTTATTCAGTGTGCCCCCACCCATCATTCCCACTCATTCCTTGTCCTTGGGCACCCACCAAAATTACCACGTTCCCCACTATTCGTTCCCATTCCTCCTTGTGCCACGTCGGCACGTTTCACTCTTTTATAAACCAAGTTAAATTCTCTCTCTCTCTCTCTCTCTCTCTCTCTCTCTCTCTTAAACACACGTTCACATATGTGTATGAAAACCCATCTTCCTCTACACCTTCGAAAGATAAAAGTAGTAAGTAAAAAGTAGAAACTGAATAGTTCTTTTCATACAATGATATTACCTTTGGATTAATAAGCAATAAGTACAAATAATTAGAGAGTGCATAACAGTGACTATCTTGGAATTCCTCATTCTTTACACTTTTTTTCCTTAAACTAGTCTTGCGTATTATTGTACTTAGGTATAAGTGTCTTGAACATGGAGTCGTACAATGTTACATTATTATTGTACGTTGAAGTAACCCGAATCAACAATACACCAATGCTGGATTCATGGGGTATCAATAGTGATTTTTATATTTACAGGCGACAGATTACTGCTACCGTTGTTATCATGGTGTGTAAGTTAAATGCTGACAGTAGTAAATGAATAAACAAATACATAAAACCTTGGGTTTTTAACTGAATTTTAAACTGGGACTGCATAAAGAGGAAGGGTTTAAAAAATAATGTAGCTTAAACAAAAGAGTTCATTTACATTTTTACGCTTTAAA